GTCTCATGGACAGTCTCATGGGCTGTCTCATGGACAGACTCGTGGACAGTCTCAAGGACAATCTCATGGACAGTCTCATGGGCAGTCTCATGGACAGTCTCAAGGACAGTCTCATGGACAGTCTCATGGGCAGTCTCATGGACAGACTCATGGGAAGTCTCATGGGCAGTCTCATGGGCAGTCTCATGGAAGTTTCAAGGACAGTCTCATGGACAGTCTCATGGGCAGTCTCATGGACAGACTCGTGGACAGTTTCAAGGACAGTCTCATGGACAGTCTCATGGGCAGTCTCATGGACAGACTCGTGGACAGTCTCAAGGACAATCTCATGGACAGTCTCATGGGCAGTCTCATAGACAGTCTCATGGACAGTCTCATGGGCAGTCTCAAGGACAGTCTCATGGGCAGTCTCAGGGACGGTCTCATGGGCAGTCTCAAGGACAGACTCGTGGACAGTTTCATGTCAGTGACGATCATGTTAAGAAGACTTTCAGTCCAGACAGCTGCTTATTACAAGAATTCAATAAATGTCTTGTTTTATTTGCAGTATTAGGTTAAGAAGTATCTTCACTCAGACATTGTGAGCAAATTAAAACTTAAAGTTTAATCATTAAATTAATACCATAAGAAATTGCCTGACACAACAAATTCATTATGAAATTTGTTGCCAACACTTAATAATAATTTTTTTTCAATTTTATCGATTTGTTGTTGCAGGCCTTTTGGAGTCCAAATTTAACTTTGCGGATAATAATGAGATTAATCACAATTAATCTCAAAATATCTTGCAATTAAAATATTTAAATCAATGCCCAGCACTCATAAAAATAGGAAAAAAATAAAAAAACATACATATCCAAGGAACGTTTGCTTCAGTTACTTCGACTTACACTTGCAAATAAGCAACACAGAACTGAATAAYATCCTCTAATGTGACAATATATAAAATATAAAACACTCACAGGCTTCTCGGTGGATTAGTGCTTGTGTGGAAAATTATACTTGATAAAAACATGTTGATACAACTGCTTTCCATTATGCACCTCTCACTGCCTCTRCTACAGCTGTCAATCAGCAGAAACAGTTTCTCAGCACAGTTGATTGAATCAAACAGGCAGAGTGTTATTCTGACAAACCATGAATGTTTGATGCAGAGTACTCACACAGCCTGTACTGTAATAATATTGGGCTTGTGTATATATTTGTTGGATTTCTGCACACATATTTATTTCAATATCATTTTTATGGTTCTAAAAAAATGATTCCACTTTTTAAATTTGATTTCTACTTTTGAATAATCAGAGTTTGGTGTAACAGTCTGTTTTTATGCAGCTGAGTGCAGTTCTTATTTGACCAATATTTTGGGGAAAAAAGGATAATACACGATATATTGCAACTTTGTCATCGTCACAATAACAGCCTGTGTAATAGGCATATCACAAGAAAACAGCATACACTGCAATAAACAGTGGACTCAAATGTTTGAATTTATTATGTTAATTTTTTCAGCATCAGTCTGATAAACAAATGGACCAGAGATACCACATCTCATCGTGACCACTTAGTCAGTGGAGAAAATATTGGACAACTGCAATGAGAAAATTTACAGTTGGATTTAGGTTTGTTAACTTTTATTTAAAGTCCTTTAACTTATTTTCAGATGTTTAATAAAACTGATAGTAAGGGGTGTTTTTAGTATTCAGAACATCAGAAAATGTTTTATGGGGTGAAGTTTTAAAGTCATTAAACTGTACTGCATGCAGTTTGTTGTTTCACTGCTAACACAGCAGCTGTGTCCAGTTGCACAATAAAACTGTCACGTTTATATGGAAATGATGTTTTAATTGATTTTCTGCTCTGAACCCTGAGCAGAAAGATATCAACACTGCATAAAACACTTTAATAAAAACACTTTAATAAAAACAAATTTTTTCTACAGACCTGAACTTTTAGTGTAGACTTTTTGCACACAGTGATACAACTAGGTTGCTTTTAATTAGGGATGCCCTGATTTTGGTTTTGTGGGTCAGTATCACTGCCACTTTCTGACTTTTCTAAATCCTCTCAAAGAATTATGACTAACAGTTTTTTTTTCAATTTCTGAATAAATTGAATATTTTAAATTGATTTGCAGCAATCAGTGAAATCCTGCTACAGCATAGTCATTGGGATTTGGTTTGTTTACAATAAAGTGTTCAAAAYGAGAAATTGATCAAATCACTGACTGACAGAAAGCTTTCACCCAAAACTGCACTCTTGTTTGATTTTTTTTACTTTAATTTTTAACCACATAACAAGTAAGACTTCTTCACTCAATAAAAAACTTCATGGAAAACCCAATATTGTTAATAGCTCAAATTAGGGCTTAGCAATAGTCTTTATACAG